CACACATGCGTGGGAATGCACATGCTCACGCAAATTCTATCAAGTAGTCGGAACTCGCCGACCTGCTGCTTCTGTAAGGGGATTTTTTGCTGCGACTGTGCATAGCAAGAATGTGGCCTCTGTTGTGCCAAACTTTGGGGCAACTCTGAAAACCGAATGGTTTGAAGGAGACAGTCTGAGTTTGCGAGGAATTTGTGTATGTGCATGCTCTAGTGTAGTAGGCAAAGATGACGACACACACACAAATAGACAGATGCAAAAACAGTTTAAAAATCATACAAAGGAGAGGAAAAAAGAGATGGAGGACTGATGTGATTGTCAGGCCTGCCTGGTGGCAGCGAGGGGCTGCCAGGAGAAAACGAGAGAGGAGTGTTTTTACCATCCCATCGCTCGTTGTTGATGCGAAGAATCACTGAAGCAAATGTTGGCGTCTTGGATCCCGGAGGGACAGTTGGATCATCTGTGTACCCCTCGTACTGACCGACAACCACCTCGTCCAGGCGGATTGGTTCCACGCATTTCAACACCTGAAATGTACAAAACGTGCACTACAGATCAGCAAATTGGTTTTTAACTTTTTATTTTTAACAGAGCCTTAAACCACTAGTACCTTTGCCGTCCAGTTTCGACAAGTTTTAGCCTAGTCCCGAACTCTTAGGAGGCCGGACCCCCCGACAACGGCTTCCGTTATTAAATCTGATCGGCGGGCATCGTTTCATTTCGTTTCCGCCTCCTCCTCCTGGAAGGTCAGAGGTCCGCTCACTATTTTCCGAACCGACAAAGGTACTAGACTATTAGTGGTTTAAGGCTCTGGCTCTGTATCCACTCTGGAAAGTCAAGAAAAAAAAATCCATTCCGGTTCCTATTCCTCTGGCAAGTCAAGAAAAAAAAAAAGAAAAAAAAAAACATCATGCAGTTCTCCACTGAGGAGACTGTTGGGTTTGCGTTTCAACTTGTTTGCTTCTTCTAGTGGGAAGATTAGGGAACTTCACCCGATTCCGGTTCGTGGATCCATAATGGACCGTCTGGACGACTTCTCGGGGGTTACTGTTTGGTCTCTTATCGAGGCCCAATCTCTCCACTGCCAGTGCTGCTTCGGTTTTTAACGAGCTTTCGGCATTCCATTAGGATGGACTCTATTGAAAACACCCTAAATTCTTTTGTTCGTTGTGATTTCATTTCAGCACTGTCCTTGTTTCTTTCTCAGTTTTCCTTTCCTTTCCTTCCCCTTCATGCCATATATCGTCAAACAGAACTGCTCGGTAAACCCTAGGCAGAGAGGTAGAAGAGGAGGACCGACTGTTTCATCGGAGTTTTGCCGACTCATCAGGAGTCTAAATGTTGTATAGTTGTCATAATAGTCATATGCCTTTTGCTAGCCAGTTACCCCATTTTATGCCTTTCTTGGAAAGCCAAATGGGTTTTCCTTCCTTCGCCGTCTTTTGATCCAGGGGTTGGCTGGCGGATAAAGGTCGTCTTAACACCTCGTCCCTTCTTTTTGGTCCAATTGGACCAATTCTCTTTTCTGCTTGCTTTTTTTTTCCTTCCAGGTGTTGCCGAACACAGATCAGCACATTGTGAGTTGTAACTTGGTTGCTTTTGTTTTTTGGTGCACTTTCAGTTTAGGTAACTGGTAGCCATCTTAACAGTCACATCATCTACATGTGTGTACCGTTCAGCAGTACGCTATAACTTGTATAATAGGTTCTTTCCCCTTCTTCTTTTTCTTCTCCGTGGGATTCCCTACGAGGCTGCCTGCCTGTAGAGCAGGGCAGGCCGCAGCCTCCATAGCTGTAGGTAGAGAGACAGGACAGAAGGCTCAAGGTGAGATCTGGCATGTGGGAGAAACTGATGCTTACCTGTTGATGCTCATCGTTCTCGTTGACCCTATTGCTTCTTGAGCTATGTTTGATTGTAGTTTTTCTGTTTTTTTTCTTTTTTAATGTAACTATGGCCGCGACAAAGTTAAGAGGTTCAAGTTGCAAATGAAACTTTTCTTTGAGGTTTCAGTTGTGGCCCAAGTTTTAAATACATGTAATGACCCGCCCAAAACACAGACTGAGAACACTGCTGATTTCTGGGATTTGTCAATGGAATGAATGCCTTGTTGTGATTCCCGCATTCTGCTGTGGTCCCAAGTCTGTGTGTGTGTGTGCCTGCTGGTTTGCATGCCTGTCTGAGTGCTTGCCGGTTGTGTGTGTGTCCGTGCCTGCTGGGTTGCATGCCTGTCTGAGTGCTTGCTGGTTGGGTATGCGTGTGACCCGCCAGGGTACTTGTTGGTTGCAAGGCCCACCGGGCCGGTACTTACCTGTGGCCGTGACTTTGAAGGGTTGCAGGGGGTAAACATGCCGGTAGCGGGGAGTAGGCCCACGACACTTAGAGCAGCTGGGGAAAAACACTCAAGTAGCAGGTAGGCCGAGCAGAAGAAGACAAAAAGTTGGCATTTTTAGAGGCCCAGTAGCAGTAGGTTAGAGGTAGGCCGGTACCAGTCCAAGTAGCCCGGGTCTAGGGCCTGTGCGGACAATAACAGAGCCTGCAATGATGTTTCCCTCCAAAAGGGAAGAGGTACCGGTCGCTGGGAGGCCGCTTGGCCTAGGAAGTCACCGCCCAGGAGGCCAGTAGGCCGCTATATCTTCAGGAAGAACGGTGAGCTCTTCCTCATTTGCGGTATGCAAGGATTGGCGACATGCTGCTGGAGCGCAGCGCTGGACTGAAGCAGCGCTGCTTGGAGGTGAAGGTCCACTGGGGCTCAGCCTGGCTATGGCGAGCACCCCAGCTTGAGGAGGAGGAAGAAGGGGGCATGGTAGGAGTGGTAGGGCACTTACCTGGCTATGGTGGACACCGTCTTCATCACCTTGTTGGGCGCTGCATCTGGAAGGCCCCAGTTGGGGTAGCGCTGCACCAGAGCAGCTCAAAGCAGAGTCAGGCATAGCGGACCAAGTCAAGCAGCGGCATAGCTGCTTTGGGTTGTCTTGGGACATCAGCGCAGCATCATAGCTGCCTCCTTAGTAGTCCGCGATAGCCTAGGCCTGTGTGAGGAAGGAGAAGAGGGAGGCCATGACGATGTTGGACCTCTTGTTGTGCTGGCAGTAAGAGGGAACTTCGGATATTGATTCTGGTTCATCCATTCATTGTTATTATTATTATTGAGAGAAGAATAAGATTGGTGAAGAGAAGGAGGAAGGAGGAAGGTGGAGAGAGAAGGGGGAATTGTCATTGGTCTTGCTGGTATACTTCTTCTTCTTCTTCTTCTTCTTCTTCAACTCTCCTCTGGTCTTTATCTCTTTGCAAGTGCTTTCATTTCTTTCGCAATTGGGTGGCATTGTCTTTCATTGTGAATTTGCACTTG